TTTTGGGCTTTTGATGGAGCTAAACTCTGTATTTTTACACACTAGGAGTCTCATGAATTTGTGAGTTTTTAGTTTATTGCGTCCACAATACTTTGGAGAATAATGTTTTTTTGAATGTTTTGACCACTCCTTTTTGTGCATATAAAAATCTCCAGATAAAAATCTAAGTTTTTTATCAATACCAATATTCAGCTTTTAGATATGGCGTGAAGAAGAAGTCTACTCCTTTCCGTCTTGTCGCATTACTCAATATCGTGACATTAGCTGTTTTTCGAATAAGCGTTTCATTCTACCTCGTTTATTGGGCTGTAAGCTGGTTTATGTTAGGTAATTTTTGTTGCGCCCTATATCAATCTTTCTAGATCACGCAAATCCCAGTGATCCCTTGGCTGCATACCATTTTCACCATCTTCGTGATTTTTTCCTTGTTCTGTTCGAACACAGTTCTTGCCTACAGGGTCATGGCGGCAGATGGACTCTTCGGTGAAAATTTCTTTGCTACTGGTTATTACGCATACGATTGGTTTGAAAGTACTTATAGAACATAATTATACTTGTCAGGGCAATCACGAGCTCGTAAGCCTCCACCACCGGTTTCCAACTCAGCAGTCGATGTTGAGACAGGAGCACGAGGAGAGGATGCCGACGAAGAGGAGGAGGTGAATAAAACTCTGGAAACTAATCTCGAAATAACTTGCTCAATAACTTGTATTTTCATCACGAGCTGAAAGAATTTTCATGTTGAAGTTCTGAAAAATTGAGAGGAGAGAAAGTCAAAGTTTTGTCGTTGTTAAACGGAGGTCATCTTAGCATTGCGATAATGATTTATGGCTTTGAAAACCTTTCCTTTACGGTAATCATCTTAGAGGAAGTTAAAATCGAGCCCTTACGGTTTTAAAGGAAAAATCGAGTGTGATGATGTTTGAGAGCTATTAGATCTTGATTCCGAATTGTGAAGATTAACAATTTTTTTTGCCGTTGAAGCAGCAGTACAACTGCTATGTACGTATAAAACTCACGGAAGTGAGGGGAACCGTCTTATCGTTCTAACAAAGAAACAAGTTCATGCTATTGTTTGAAGTAACTTACAAGGGAATGTTTTACTCGAAGTGGCCATTCGAAGCAAGATATATTCGTCATGACTAGGTGGTTATGGGCAAATCATGTCTTCCATATCTGCAAAACGCTTTTCTAGGAGAAGATATGGCCACTTATTTCCATGAGGCCTCCCGCAAGATGTAGTACTTGCGCAAACTTACTGAGTGCTTGGGTGGCACACCGATAAGTGTCTTGGTTTGGAGGTGTACGATGCGGGTTCGAACCTGTGTCGGCTAACATTTTGCTTTCTTTGCAATAATGTATATTTGCTTGATAAATTTTGAAAAACACTTAATTTGACTATGTAATAGTCATGAATATTTATATCATGATAAGAGCATTTCCCTTTCAAACTGTTGCTCAGTTTTGCTTTCCTCCTAATCTCATAGGTTGTTGTACCGCAAACAATTGTGACGAAGAACATCTCCTTCGACGCGCTGCTGTGAGCAGCTTTTATGTTTTAACTCATTGTAGACGACTATCACATATGTTCATGGTGTGAATGATTTCAAATCAACATCTGATCATTGGTTTAGCTTGACTGACAATGAATCAACCAGCTAATAAAGCTTTCTCTAGCAATAACAGGTAATTGCAAAAAACGCAGAATATTCGTTAACGACGAACCTGCATCGCACACCTGCAAACCAAGACACCACTGCGCCACCCTAGCACTTAGCCTGGTTTCGCATAGAATACCGTTTGATAGATGATAGCAGATAG